ACTTCAATAATCGTGCATTTAGTGGTGGTAGTACGACCACCATATGACAGTACTTTTCTTGCACTTTTGCTTGCTTACTTCATCTTGGTGAAACACCATCCGGTTACAAAATTTCAAGCCTTTGAGAAACAGTTGCCATAATGCAGTCATGCATGAGAGATTTATCCGTAAAACAAATGATGGAAAGTTTTATAGTGAATAGGCATAATAACCTAACATGTGCACCCTTTAATGCCATAAAAAAACTGCCTGCCAAATGAGATACCCTCAATCACATATCTTCAGTAATCGATCTACAAGCAACAGAGATCTAAGCGTAACGACATGTGTTATTCAGTGTTTATAGTCCACAACAAAGCAAAAGCGAACAGGGAACTTCCATCTAGTCTGTTTTTTTGTTTACGATAAGCGAAAAAAGTATTGTTAGGCCCGTATGCACGTACGTCCCCGCTGGGGAGGGGAGGGGAGCTGGATCCCCAGGGGAACGATCCCCTCCGCCGAACCCCGCCATGACAGAGGGGAGGGGAGCGATCCCCTCCCCTGCACCTAAGCGGGGATGGTGTGAATGGTTTCAGAGGTATTGATCGAGCGAACCCCAGTGCATACGGGGTTCGAATGGGGGAGGGGATCCCTTCCTCCACTCGAACCCCGTATGCGCGAATTCAACTCAATAACGCGGGGGAGGGGATCGACATCCCCTGCAACGAAGTAGGGGTTCGATGGTGTAGATCATGCCAGAGACGCGGATATTCTGGTTCTGCTCAGTCATTACCAAGCATTTCGTTCATTTTGATGGAGGATTTTCTTTGTAAGCCGGGTTCTTCTCTCGGCGACCTGTGGCTTGCAATTTGTCTTTCTTTTCTATATTCGCCTCTTGAGAAGAAATCCGAGCAACAATAGCTGCCAATTTCGATTATTTGTAGGAGTTCTTGATCATTCAGGAAATTTGCGCATTATTCATATAACATAATAGTTTTAACTATATAGGCTGAGTAAACACATTGTAACTTTCATATTTCATAACATGTTGCCATTATCTTGTTATTTTAACATAAGCTGCCTCGAAAAAATCTAGAAAGTAGCATATTTGCCTATTTCTGAGTAGAAATCCCCTGGGGAGTGATCCCCTCCCCAGCGTTCCCCTTGTGCATAGCAGGGATGGCTGCTGGGGATCATTCCCCTGGGATAAAGGACGATATGCAGCTGGTAGCTACAGCGTTTATGGAGAACTGGCACAATTTGCAGCTTCTGTTATGTGTTAGAATACTGCTTTGAGCGTCCGCGCGGCATCCTCCCCCCTTTTCGGCAGCATAACGTCTTCTGCCCATTCCCTTGCAAAGACACATCAACTTCTATAGTTCAACATTTTTACACTGAAATGGAGCAGCATGAGCGAAAGTGGGCAGCATCCAAGAAAGTAGGAACATAATCGGAGTAGAAAAAATCATTTTTAGTGCCCCGAGCGCAGTCACTGCATGCGCGCATTCCGCAACCCTAAATTAATGAAAGTGAAGAGATGAAGATGAATTGCAGTCAAAATATGGAATAAGAAAGAGTTTTTCATAGAAAATTTGAAAGCAAGGTGATTTCCCCGCTTGATCCCCTCTTGTGCATAAGAGGGTTCACTTCCCCTCCCCACGGGGGATCCCTTGTCCGATATTGTCTTTGTGCATACGGGGGTTCGCGCGGGGAGGGGAGGGGATCCCCAGCGGGGATCATTTCAATGGTTAAGCGCACATCCCCTCCCCGCGGGGATGTACGTGCATACGAGCCTTAGTTAGCAACTTGGCGCCAGAAAAAGGGCCCCAAAATAAGCTATTTTGATTCGCCAAAAACTTCTGTACGGCAAAAACTTAAATTTGCTTTTGTGATGTAACTTCCGGATAATAGCCTACTGGATGACTGCAGCCAAGTGTTTCTTCCTTTTTCTTATAGGATTATTATGTTGATATATACGGTTTTGAAGAATACTTTGTAAAAATTTTCGAATTTACGCTTCTCTTTTTGTTTTTTACACGACGTACTATCCTTGTAATAAGAAAGAAGCGACTTCCAGCAAATTTCAATGGCCTAAAAATGTTCAATCTTAAATGTCATAATATAGTAAATCAGAAAACCTGCATATCGGATAAAGCTTTCGGAAACAACCTAGTGCAGAGAACTTGATTAAAATTCTACTCACCCAAACACAGCTGATGATTTTTTTTACTTTCACTTCCACTGACGGGAGAGTTTGCAACCACACAGCAGGACGTCTCTGCACGCCAGAAATGACATATAAGTCTTCCCTCTGCCCAGAGTTCCCCTATTCCAGCATTTCGTTCTAGGCCCAGGAATGATGCAAAAGGTTCTCAATAACAAAAATAACACAAAATCTTCACAAGAGTTTTTTACAAGATTATTGAAGCGCCCATTTCACTACCTTAATATTCTCTATCAGAAAAGACGCGAATTCTACAACCACAACTTTAACAATACCGCGAATAGCACGAGGGTCAGTTCTTACTTTAAAACCTTTCTACCGAAAGTTTACTTCAAAGCTGGTAATCGTGTCCGATGGCTTAAGATGGCGAGCCACTCTTTACACCAGTTTACAGATTATATTAGGTGAATCCAAAAGTTCGTGCCGTTTATTATTGCTAAGCAAGTGTTTTAAACAGTGTTCGAGCAGAAATTTTTTCAAGCAGTGATTGCATTGTTTTAAGATCTATAATAGTAGCTTGAATAATACCTACACTAAATCTTACTATTTTTTTAAACCTTCCTGACTTTCAGAAGAGTTTGATAACCGTTGGAGTGTGGCGGCTCGGTGGGATCAGCACCTTCCGCAAGTGCTCACAGCAGCTACATCCTAGATCCCTCTTGTTCCCTACATGATGTTGCGCGTCCAATAAGGTCCGCGACGCGCTATCGTTTGCTGTTGATGACTACCCCTACCTAATATAGCGCGTGGACGCTAACAAGGAATAGGAGCCAACTAGATCAGATACATTTATCTTAAAACACAAAACTACACTACTTCCTAAACTACTAAACAAGTAAACGGAGAAACATGGAGCGGCCCGTAGCCAAATGCTACCGATGGCCCCGTTAGTCCTATCTTAATAATGAAGTTCCCGAAGCCTCGCTCAATAGATCCGTCGCCAGTCGTCCAGACCCGAAGGAAACGGTGCAACCCCCTCCGCTCCCGAAATTCCAGTACAACAACAATTCCAGGAGTTGGGTTGCTTTCATCATTGTGCGTCCTGCGCTTGAACTATCCCAAAATCCTGGGCAACCGCTTCTACAGCTTGGTTCGCAATAAAAAACACCCGATGCAGGAGCTCAAGGCACGATGATGCAATATCAAAATCACAGACAAAGGTAATCAATAAAGGCGAAAGTGGACAGGCGAGCAAATGAGACGCCGCCTTATATAGCCGTTTTGTTGGCTACACGCCAGCAAGGAGAGGTCCCACGGCGACTGCGAAGCTAAGGCTATATCGTAATCGCGACAGGATATGCGAATCAACCGGTGCTCCCGGCCTCCTGCTTTTAGGAGCGCGTGTATCATTAGCCGACAGATAGAGTAAGCAAGGGCAATACAAGGATATTTTGGACGTCTTAGATGACATTCAGTAATTCGCAAGACGCACTAAAAGTCATTTCTTTGAAGCTATAAAACAAACGCTTCAAACATTGATAAATTTTTGAATTTAGAACTGCAAAGACCGATTGTGTTTTATCAAACAACTAAGCGTTGAGCGCTCCGCAATTTCAAAAGCAATTCTCGACTTTAGCCTGAAGCGCTTACCAAATCAAGAATTATGATGATTTCCTAAGCGAAGAATTTACAAACCAAAAGAGAAACTAACTATTAGAAAGATATTAACAATTTGCCGCTTATCAAAACTGTTCGGCAAGTGTTCAAACAGTGTTTGATGCAGAAAACCTTCCTCTTTTGAGCAGGGCTTGTTCGAAGATTTTTAATGGTTAGCTCGAACAATCGTTAGTCTCCAACTCATAGTTTTTACCTATACCGAATTTTGCTATTTTTTCAATTTTCATTCTTAAAGAGTTTGAATAGTTAAAGAGTTTCGAAAACCTTTAGATAGAGTAAACAAAGTGCAAGACGATGGACTTTTGCGCATTTTGAGCCTAATTCTAGCACTGTATATCATATTAATGCTCTTGATCTCTACTTTCAGGCTGACGCTATTTTCCAACCCTTTCCAACTCGGTGGAGGTGATTCGATATTTCTGAAGACTAATATAGCATCCGTAATCAGCACGCTGACTTACCCCTTGTTCCAACCCTTGTTTCCAAAACTCTTAAATGTCATCTAATGCTTAAAGTCTTAAAGGCAGCGGCTCGGCAGAATTTCGTTTTCCAGTTTTTGACCTTTTCGGAGCTTTCTCGCCATGAGGAACCCCCATATCTGGGCTTTTCAGCGCATGAAAATGGCAAAAATGCGCTTTTTCCGAAGCTTTCCAGGTCACCGTTTGGTGCAGAAGTGGACGGGGCTTGGAACGAAAAAGGCGGGACGCGGCTTTTTCCGGTGTATTTTCACTGAATACGGACCTGAAAAGCTTCAGAAAAAGCGCATTGTTGCCATTTCCATGCCCTGAAAACCAGATATGCGTTTCTCATGGCGAGAAGGCTCCGAAAAGGTGAAAAACTGAAAACGAAGTTCTGCCGAGCCGCTGCCTGGGATTATCTTGCTTCTTTAAGTTATACTTGCGAAAAAAGGTTATACGTGTCATATAAAATTGATGGTTCCGAAAACAAAAAGTGTCTATGATTTTTTGTGGATTTATGGATAAGGTCATGCTGTAGCACACTTTGCTCATGGATGAAACTTCCATTCTTACCGAAGTATGAAAAAAATGGACAGTATCGCGGTTTGCAATCAAGACAAACCAGCAGGCACTGCTGTAGTGTAGAAATGTGTTTATGTGATTTCAATGTTTGCTTACGTATGCTTTGCTCATTACCCTTTTGGGTATTGATCATTCTTACTATGACTTCGCCCCCGATAAAGCAGTTGTTCAACGTGGTGTTCGGACGCGACAGATTTGGACGGCTGAAGCAGGATAATTGGCACACTGAACCACCACTTTATGGTGCATCTGCCGTCGTCGAAGAAAAGGACCAGGACAAGGATCAGTTGCCATATACCAACGTGGGTTTTTTCTTACTTAGATCATTTCACAAGAGACATTGGAGGAAGAACGTTGATTGCGGAACAGGATCTTGATAACAGGCAGAACAGGCACCTCAGTTAGGAACACGAAATCAAGAAGTCACAGTATCTAAGCAATTTTACCCAATGTCGGACGTACTGGATTAGCAGTAGCGAAAGCGCTACTGACACGGCATTGCCGTAAACTCAAGGTTTTGGCAGAAGAATGTGAGGCGGCAAAGGAGAGTTTCAACGGTGAAGAGGAAGACGGCATCCAGAGCAAGGCGATAGAATTGGAAGAAACCAAACAGCCAAAGTTGACTCCGACAAGTTTGTCGAAATTTGAGAAGGTTGTGGATTCTATGAGTGAGGTGACAGAGGAGCAAGATTGGGAGATACAAGACTATTTGGAGAAGGCTCAGGCAGCGACTGGTCATGCCGAAACTGTTACAATTCAACTGGAATCTTCGAGGAGAAGTCTTGTACGCAAGAAAGCAAAAACGTCCAGTACAACTGCTCTCAGCACGTCGATGGGAAACGTGAGAATAACAAAGCCGAACTTACCAGCCAATCCAATTCCCACGTTCACGGGTGAATTATGGGAGTTTGAGAATTTTTGGCGATTGTTTGAAGCCAACGTAGACAAGCAACCGCTCAGCTGCAGAAGTTCAACTATATCATAAACTCCCTACAAGGTGATGCCTGCGAACTTATGCGGCGCTTCATTGTTACAGAGGATAACTATCCTAGCTGCCACGTATAGACTGTACCAACCAGCATCGGTCATGCGACGTCGCGCCTGCGGCGACTTGCGACGATGCGATCTGGCGCGCGCGAACTCTGCCACGCGTTATGGCACGCCGCATGCGACGCTGCGTCGTCGCAAGGCCTGCTGCGGGACCGATGCCGGCTGATACAGCCTATACCATTAGCGAGTTATGGGCTTTTTTGAGCAAAATTGGCATGCTCACCGACTCACGGGCATCACGTTCATCATTTGAGTGCTGATACACCTGCGCTAAGCTTTTTTAGTGAGAAAGGATTGGATTTGTACTATTTCGATGCCTCAGCACGTTTTTCTTGCAGATTTCTATCTACGGGCAGTCTTCTCGTGTCCAGTAGTGTGCCAGTTTTCATAGAAAAAAGTCCAGAACTCGCTTCGGAATGGTGCGTGGCAGCTAGAAATAGCATATTTGAAATCAGCGTTTGAAGCTGATTCAGAATATGTACATGTCCCTCGCCAACGGGGTTAAGCTAGGTAGCTTTCCTTGTAAGTATAATCTCAAAACCTTAGTTTTCAAAAATCTTAAAAACCCTGTGTTTGCTCTTACAATCGAGAAATACCAAATTTTATATGAAAAACGCGAAAGAAGTGGCACTTTTGGCATTTATGATCCAACTTTGTTTCTCAATTTTGAGCCCCGGATAAAATCCACCAAATACACTTTTGGTCACTAATATGTGTCTACTATAATATATAGGGTGTCCCGAAAGAAAATGTGAACACTGCTTGACGTCAATAACTCTTTTGCTTTCATGTCTTTCGCCGAGCTCAAAGGCAGTGTCCCGGCTGATTCGTGCCCTGGGTAATATAAGCGTGGTGGGATTCCTGTGTTATTTCGATTTTTCAGCACCATTTTCTTGCAGATTTTTATCTACGCGCAGTTTTCCCATGTTCAGTAGTATGCCAATTCCGCGCAAGAAAAAGCCCGTAACTCGCATCGGAATGGTGGGTGGCAGCTAGAAATAGCACATTTGGAATCAACGTTTGAAGTTGATTCAGAATATATATGCCTTTTACAAAAAGCCGAGCTAAGTTAGGTAGCTTTCCGTATAAGAAACCTGACTTCCTCTCCTATCATCATGGCATGATAGAATTCACCATTTCCATTTCAGCCGGCCCTCCTACCCTCTTCATTGACCTTTTGTGGTAAAAAAAAGCACAAAATCGATAAACTCGGTAAAGGTAATTCGATAATTTTGAAGACTAGTATAGCATTCGTAATCAGCATGCTCACTCTCCTTGTGCCAACCTTCGTTTCCAAAATTCTTAAAGTCATCTAACGCCAAGTTTTAAAGGATTATCTCGTATCTTAGGTTTCACTTGCGAAGAAAGGTTATACGTGTCGTACAAAAATTGACGGTCACGAATAACAAAAACTGCCTATAGTAGCACACTTTGCTCGCGGAACTTGCGTTATCAAGAAAATGTGTTAAACAGTTTTCCGAATAAAACGTTTTTACTTGTGTGTGTTGATTAAATTCATGATCCAAAGGAAAGAAAGGGATTTCATTTTTTAATACGTTTTTAGAAAGTGTGCAAGCAATCAACAATCAGTTGCCTAGAATCATAATCAAGGTTGAAGGGACTACAGGAAAACCAAGTTTTCACAGACATTGCATCAAATTAAGCCTAGATTCTGAAAGAAAGAATTGGCGATTCTTATGCTTTGTAGAAGTTGGCCAAACAAGCTGTGAAAAGGCGAAAAAACTGCATTTGCAGAAATGTCAGCTAGCATGGTGATTAAAAAGGGGCATCAGCATTTGTATTCTATACTCTCTTTCTTTATCTCGAAACTCGCAAGAGTAAAATTTTTACTAATAACTCTGTAAAAACTGTATGTAGTTTAAGGTGTTCGTCTAGATCAAAATTTAGTGATGTATGTTTTCGATGAAGGAGTTGATGGAAAGTAACATCTAGTAATCGCTCTCATTATCACTGATTGGTGGGGCACCATCATTTGTGAACCGTAAATATTTCATCGCATTTGACTGTCGAGGTCATATGTTGAGGCCGTAATCTACTCTGGATATTCTAAAGTTCACAGAGCACATATAGAAAAAAATTTTTTTCGTATCTTCCACATACCATCGTATCTTCCATTTCATTTCTCCTTCTCATTCTTGAACACTCAAGCGTTCTGCTTTTATAATAACTTTCTCGTCAGCACCCCTTTTTTCTAACCGATTGACGACGACACTCAGTTTTGCGTGGAGTGGGAAGGTTTTGTGTCATTTACGATGTGCAGGGTTGTTTTGTGAACAGCTACATTTTTTTGAAACCACAGAGCCTTTAGGCCCAAAGAGTGCAAAAAGTTGGAAAAAATAGTAATACATGGAAGAAATACTAGACCTTAAAAGATATAACTTTAAAAAAGGTTGAATTCAGCGTTTCACATCGTCATGTGGGTTGAATTATACAGACAAAATAACATCTTGTCGTCTCATGAAGCGAGTGTTTCGAAATAAATTTGATAGGTTCTGTTCTAGATTGGGCTAACTCAGCGGCCAATAGCCGATCATTAGAATCTTGCAACAGTTGCAAAGCAAAAAGCAAACAGTCTCAGTTTGCTTGCGCTTGAAACTGTAGTTTGGACACTGAGCAGACAAATTAGACAAAGAAAATAATAGGTGAAAGAATTCGTCCAATTGAAAAGACTTTAGCTTTCGAAAACGAAACAAAAAATGAGTGTTACGGCCTTTTGATTGCAGAAGAGTAATTTTGAGGCATATAATGATTACTTGAAAGCGTCGAATCTATTCTTGCAAATCTCTTCTCTGAATATTGCGATATTTTGAATTGCATTTTGCAGCAGAGAAAGCGCTCCCTAGAGGTTTAATGGTATGTTTAGGTCTTTTTAAATTCATTCGAAGCTCTATTTGAGCGTCGTGAGTGCTGAATACGTTTGCGCATTTTCCGAAATGTGTGTTTCACACTCTTTTGACCTTTGATAAAATGATCCATTAACAATTTTTGCCCATTATATCAGGTTTTAATGAACAATTTGCTTAAGAATAAGAATCACCAATTTCAATTCCACCTCTATCATTTGGTAGCAATGGAAGAATCTAGAAAGTTGAGTGACTTTGAGTGCTTCAAAATTTCTGAGCTCAGCCGGTCCAGTACATATAGCTGTAAAAATCCCCAAAATGGCATGAGCCAGCCACAGCAATATCTATACTTTACTGTGGCTGTCCTCATTCTCGCGTAAAAATTTAGAAATGAGAAATTTCTGGCAAGCTCCAGTTTACACGGAGAATCGATTACTGGAAGTTGCAAAACATAATTATCATGCAAAACTCGCCACAGCGTCAGATGAGATTTCTGGTCTCCTCAAAGTGTATTTTTTGGCTTCTAACTAAAATGCTGTAATAAGGGGATTTTTTTCTCAAAATTCATGTTTTCACGAATTTTTTTTTGCGAAGGTAATATACAAACCAGAGCTATTTCATTTTTCACGAAAAGTTTTGTGGCCTAAAGTGCCACTTTGATACACTCTAGGATCAAGCTGAAAATCAGAGACCCTGCAGTGCCGTTTTTGAAGACTTTTTTTTTCAAGGCTAGCCGACGAAAAGTTGCGTTTAACACTGTCGTAACTTTTTTTCTTATTTGAAGCAAAGCATGCAATCAGGTTTAGGCAATGTTGTGTTTTATTCGATTTAAAGTTTTTTGTTCTAAAAATTTTCTTGCTTGTGCAGACACAAAAAAGCGCTCTTATTTTTTTGCAAAGAGGAATATCAACATTACAGTGGACATTTTGAGTGATTTTTCAAGGTTAGGCCTTGTAGTAGCTTTGTATAATCAGGATGCCACAGTTTCGTCTTGATAGTTTGATAAATTGTCTGAACTGATACAGCAATTTTTCATTTCTTACTGAAAGTTAGAGATACTCTTGTTACCATAATCGCTACAATAACTGTTTTTGAGAGTCCATTCCCGGAGCTAAGCACAAAGAGATGCGAATAACGTTAAAATTTTTCGAAATCGATGCCATCATTTGCTTTTGTTCCGCAATCTTGCTCTGAAAGGGGGTTTCGCCAAGTATGATTAGGATTCTAATGGCTGAAAGTGCTGAAAGTTTTCGGACTGCTTTATTGCATGCAAATTTTGTTCAGTCAAAAAATACGTTGTGCTGCAAATTGCTCCATCTTTCAAAATGTACCTACTTGGTAAGTTTATGGATTTTGAATATCAGTTTTAGGTTATGAGAGAAGGAAAATCTTCAATTACAGCCAGTCTGTGAGGGTTTAGACAAAAATAACATCCATTTCTTAAGCTGTCAAAGCGTGATTACAAAAGAAAATTGATGGGCTTCTTCAAAGGGCAACGGTTTCACTACTGTTTGTAGTGCCTTGATTTCAGAGGAGTATTAATGCATACCAAAAACGACGTTATTGTATCTCCCCCAATTTTTGTATCGTGATTTTTGAGTACGAAAAAAGTCAGTGAGTCTTTTGTACTTCTCTATACAGTGCTGGACTCGATTATAAAGGCACTTCAAAAATCGTCGTAATTTTCGTTCTTGCCAATGAACCTGCTTGAAAATTTGCCGTATTGTGCGCATGTTAACCTACCATTACCCCTCCAAACTACTTCCAATCTTGTTGAGTTTGAACGGAGAAAAAGAAAAAATTCCGAAAAAGCCCTTAATGAAAGCTGGAAAAATTATAAAGACACCTGGTTTTTTCAATCACTATCAATCATTACATTCCTTGACTCTCGAATTTTCTTGCACAGTTGCATCCTAAAATATATAACATATGAAACACCTTTGGCTTGTCAACCTATTAAAATAAAAACAATCACTGCATTTTTTTGCTTTCGCGTAAAAAGTCAATCTGTTCCAACAAACAGCTGGGTCAAGAAGTTTTCAAGTTCTTGTTTGATTCAAACAATAGTTATCATATCTGCTGAGCCTTTTCGATAGATGAGGTAAGGAGCGCTTTCATAAACTCTACCAATCGCTGATATTGATGGACAGTTCCAACCTTACCATAGGGTTGCCACGCTTTTACTCCACAAACTCTGTTTGCAATGTTCATAAAACGCTGGAATTGATTTACATTGCCTACATAGTGATGTATCTTTTGCAATAACTTCTAGATCTCCCCTAGTGCTGCAGTTGCGATTTAGATTTAGAAAACTTTCCACGAAAATTCCTGCGAGCAGAAGAATCGACATAATTATGAATCTTCCTATCCCCTCTGTATCTCATGTCACATTTCATCCGATGAATGAGATTAGCTAAGATTTTAAAGTTCCAAGCTTCTCCGGTTTTATCTCGTAATCTGAGTTGGCTTTAATTGTGCAGAGTGCTTCACTCAACATTCAGTGGATCTCAAATGGATGAACCGGAATGCTCAACCCCGAAATTTTTTCCTAGTTACACACAAATTCACCGTTGTATGAGTGTCGTAATGGCTACATTACAGTATTTTCTTTTGCTTGAAAATCGAGTTTTGTGGTGCAGAAGTGCGTCAACCCTATGGTGAGGTTGGAGTCTGTCCGTCAATATCAGCAATTACGCAAAGTTTACGTAAGCGCTTCTCCCCTCACCTATCTAAAAAACTCGCTGTTTGTTGAAACAGATTGAATTTTGATGCTTTTCGAAGCAAAAAATGCAGCGATTATTTCTTTTTGAATAGGACAGGCCGTAGGAATTGCAAATGTTTTATAATGCAGAAGGTAATTGTACAAAGAAATTTGAGAGTCAAGAAATGCGATAGTGTTTGAAATACCCAGGTGTGGTTATAATTTTGCCTAGCTTTCATTGAGAACTTTTCGAATTTTTCTCCATTCAAACTCAGCAAGGACCGTTTTGAGGGGTCATGCTAGGTTAACATGCTCACAATACAGCAAAGTTTATGGCAGATTCATTGGCAAGAACGAAAATTACGATGGTACATTTCTGTTATCCGAACCCATTTTTTTGAAAAGCTCTCGTAAAATTCGTTCACTAGTCTGAGAACAATCTTTCATAGATTTCGCGAGGATAGCCTCCCTGCCACGTGTCAGGAAAGTATTGACACGTTTTGATCCATTTTGACATGTTCTTTTGAAATCATTTCCGATGAGATAAGAAAGCAATTTGATAACCTAAAAGCTGTTTATGTTTTCTATAAGAGTACTTATTATAAGATCTTGATCGTTTTTAGCCAGTGATTCAGCATTCTCTTTCTTCAAACTTTTCGCCTTGCGAATTTAGCCAAACGAGATGAAAATGATGGCTTGAAGTTCCTCGCCACTGCTTATTTCGTCACTTCGATGTTGAAACTCCAGCCCACTTCTCCTTCTGGGCAAGTCTAATTTCTTCATTAATGACAGAATGACGTTATTGTGATGATAAGAATGTTCAGTTTTGATACTGTTCAAT